AGCACGTGTTAATTAATAGATAGAGTCGTTTTTTCTTCTTTCGATACAACGCGAAACGAGTCAATCGAAGATAACCGACATCCGGGGAGTGAAAGAGGATGGTACGGGAGGGGAGGGGGAGACACACCGATTTCGATTTGGCGCCCGATCGCGCGCGATTTCTCCCGTGTCTGAAATTAATTAACCGTGATAATTAATGGCGACATTTCTTCGAACGTAACGCGCCGTAACGCGGGGAGGTTTTGTTTTTTTTTTATTTATTGCGCGGTTGACGTTTCGCACGCACGCATGCACGCATGCACCATATAGGTACATATGGGATATATGTATATCGGCGCCCGAAACGCGAAGGGGAAACGGAAAACGTTTTGCGCGCGATAATCCGGGCAGACGTCTGCAGGGGAGATGCAAAATACTTCTGGCAGGGATCGGCTGAAATTACGGGTTCGAAAAACAAGGGCTGGCGATATAATTGTTTTATCTGATAGATTAATTTTAGCGTTCTCGAGAGGATGATATCGCCAACACCAACGGAATTATACGCTGTGAAATTATTGAAAGTATCTCTCTATAAAAATTATTCGCGCGTTTAAGGGGAAATTTAATTACTAAATGCATTAATTCGACGTTATTAATTCGTAGTTATTCTACGTCGAGTATCTCGACGAATATCTCGTTTTCCAAGATAACTTTTTATTCACTCGAAATAAACGTTTCGAACTGAGTTTTAATATCGCCGATATGAATTCTTCAATCTAAATATTATGCATCTTCACGTGTGCAAACAGGGCGCATTGATTCAACTTCTATTTAGCATCGGTTAATTACTCAGACGCAGACCACGAGTTCTTCGATTTGCGCAAAATAATACCGACGGATAACGTCAATACATAACACCGCATTCGCAAACACGTTTCGCGCTTTACGGAACTTACTTCACTAAATTCACTGAAAAAATAGTCCGCTCGCGAATTGAACTTATAATTAATCGAAGTTACGTACATTTTTCCACGATATACATTGCGCATACTCGTATCCTTTCGAAGCGGGCAAGTCGGTCGAGGATTATCTACACGCGTGAAAGCGCAATGTCGAAGTGGGGCGAGAGAAATGTTTGACGAAGGAGAGAATCGGCTCGCGCGACAATCTGCGGGAATTCCGCGCGCGGGACAATCTGCTTACGGATGACCGATTGCGTCGAAATGCGTGGCCGAAACCGATCGACGCCGAGGATTCATCGTATCGAGTCCGATCGATCGCTCGAAGGTGACGTATCATTCTTCTCGCGCGACTATTGCCTACCGGGCAATTTCGCATTTTGCATTCGCACACAGCGCGCAACGGCTGTGTCGCATAATTAATTACCTTGATTTGCGTTCTCCAATCGCCAGTTATCGTTGTCGAACTGGCACAACTCATCGTCTCCCCCTTTTCCCGGTTTCCAATTGCGGAAGGCATTGCGTTAACTAACGCGGAGAGCGCGGTTAGCTACGGTTCGCTGCGAGTCAATTATTTAATTAATTCAAATCGGAAACGGATCAAATATTTCGACTCTCGCGTTTACATTTGATCAGCGCTCTAATTCTCACAGCTTATTTGCCCTTCGAAAGCACACTCCAAAATATAAATACCTTGGCTCTGCGATCGTGCATTGCAATATTTTTTTTATCCTATCGATTATTTTTAATTTCTGGCTGGAAGAAAACAAACTAATCCTGCATGTTTCGAAACATAATCTAACACTGCCAACTAAATTATGAAATATCAAAATTAATTTTCGTTATCTATTCGTAATATTAATTCCTGTATATAATTTATGGAATGAAGTTAAAAAGAACAGAAAAGCGTGACATAATATTTGCAATTGCAGGCTCCATATCGTTTTGGAAATTAATCCAGAATTAGCGACACTCAGACAAGCAATAAGTGCCACGAAAACGCCATTAAAAATTCAAAGACCTTGAGATTGAAATTCAGCGCGAAAAGAATCGACGAGCTGATAATGACGAAAACCGCAGATCCTGAGCGCCCGAAGGCGCCTCTCCATTTATCGCGCCTCTCCTGTCCGCGGGCGCGCGCACGCGCCAGGCACCCGTGTCTCTCCGAAAATAAACAAGGGTGCTCCTTCGCGATCGGCGATCCAATTAAATCCGATTACATTTTTCGCCGCGGCGCGGCGGCGGCCCCCCTGCCCCTCTCGCCCCGCGAGAATCCGAACGGCGGGATGCGCGTGCGGGGCGCGCGAATACTGGTGGCGTCCCTTATCGATTCGAAACGATTTTAGAGGGTGGTTTTACCCCTCCGACGTTTTTGATTTCGGCTACGCGGCCTCCGCGATACCGGGACTCCGGGGCAACGCTTCGCCGCTTCGAATTAAGGGGTGAGCCTCGAGAGCACGGGATGCCTAACCCCGGGATCATTCCGAAGAGAGACAGAGCGCCGGGTGCTCTGGGTGGGATGAAGAAAGGGAGAAGGTAGGCCAGAAGGGGGAGACCGGAGGGTACGAGAGTAGACAAGAAGGGACGCGGAATCGAGCGGAGTCTCTTCTCGGTGTTTATTTTTTACTTCTCGAAAGAGCCATACGCGCGCCGGATGCGCACACCCCCCATCACGGTCCCCACGATCCCAAATTCAATAAATATGGTCCCGTTGAATAACGGGCGTTAGATACGCCCTGACGTTCCTGGAGAGACTCGTGATATGAGATTATTGCCGTAGCCTTGAAATCCGCGACGAATCGGAGTGGAGCAACGTTTCGCAGAATGAGCAAAAGGAAAACGCGAATTGACGTATCCGCGCGCTAACAAGAGCTGAAATGCGGGCTTCGTGATACAAAGAGAAACAGCTGTAACGGAATATCCATCGAATTCGCCATATGAATAATGAAATTGTTAAGGTTCAGTGGCTTTATTTAAAGCCTGCCGTATCCAAGAGGTCTTGTATTGAAATGAGCATTCAAATGTTGCGATAATATTCAATTAACTTTTCTTTTGGAAAGAACTGACTACGAATTTTTTATTGAATTCGTATATAGTGAAAAAGCATGACGATATCTTTGTGACTTTGTACCTCGGCGGCACGGAATGTTGCGGACTTCGAAGTATCGCTGGAGATTAACGGGAAAGAAACTCGGAAGTTAATACCCTGCATCTCACGTACACACGGTTAAGTGTCAAACAAAACATGTATCTGTTTTATAAAAAAAGTATCGCCTGTCTGTCAAAAAATTTTAATTATGCCGCGCGAGATCGTAAAATTAGGAATGCGACATCGGGATATCAAGGAGCAGAGATTACTTTTCGCGGGATAGAATTACGGAGGAAAAAAATGACGACGAACGAAAATAGGGCGAGGCAAAAAATTATTTACCATGATATTGCAATCGTAAAGTGATACCAGTTTAATATGCATGGCAATCTCTCCTCTCGCTGCAGTACGGTCAAAAGTAATATGTTGCCCGGAAGTTACAACGGATTAGCCAGCTTCAGGCTGCATCTCCGTTCATTTAATTTTGCAATCGTAAACACGATACTCAGATATTTAGTCTTCTACAAACATGGCAATTCCAATAGGGATATTGGATCAGTTAATGTTGTTCTATGGCTCTGTACTTCGTCGAGTCACCCCTGATATTAAATCGAATTCATTGAACTTTATATAAAGGGGAGCAAGGTATAGTAACATATTTTAATTAAAGTGTGCAATATGTGTACTGGTATTTGGTATTTTTTATATATTATATATTTCATTTGTGTTGTAAACATAAATGTGGTCAATTCAAATGTTTGCATAATTCAATCGATGCAATTTGAATTAGATATCGTTCTTCCTAAATTCAATGAGAAATTGCAATTTTAATTTAAACAGAAAAATTTTCTTAAAATTTTTCACAAAATGGTATCATGAAATATCGAACAATTTTGGATAAAACAGTATTTTAAAGAATAAAATGTTCTATGGAACAAGTAATTACAAGATCACCGTTATATTTATATTATATCATACACTTCTAATCCACACGGCGTTATAATTGGATACTATTGCGTTAATGTACTGCGTGCCCTAATTCCCGTAACAATGGTATTACGGTCAATTCATTCACGCAATCGCACAACAGGACGGACATTGGTATACCTATCAATCATTCGCAGAATCTCGTAGCATCCGCTTTCATTGCGGAACTCGCATATACGTATCTTCGATACACATAATTCTGCTCGGCTTTCTCCCTCTCTCTCTCTCTGCAATCGTAATACGCGTAATTACCAAAATCCATATAACTCAACTCAGATTCCTCGAACATGCATCCGCACACACAAATCCGCATTCTCGGGATCAAATTGCAGTTATACATCACGCGGTTTGAATAATCGTTAGAATTCAAGCACCCCCTAACTTCGATTGAGGCTTATTACTCAACAAGAGTCCAACTGACGTATTTTAGTAAAACGATTTATCAGAAGGAAATATCTCAATTTCTTTGTTTAACAAATGGCTTAAGTTATGGAGACATTTCGTCTCCATATCTTTGAATTAATTTTCAATTCGTAGAACTAAAATTTGCATTAAAGTTTAAATTGAGCTGACAAGACATTCAACATAAAAATAAAACTTGACATTTAATGATTTTCTTCAATTTCATTTCAATTTTTAATTATTTAATTTAAATATTATATACATATATTTTATCCGCGTGGATTACGAGATCCGCGTATATACGAGAAGTAACATGTACAATGCGCAATTCAGAATGTTAATGTATAAATGCTTTTAAAGGACGAAAAAGGATAAAAAATTAGCATGGCAATATTTCAGATCAAATGTTGCGACGACATCCAATTAGACTTTATCATAAACATAACAGATGCAGCGAAATCAGAGATGCTAATTTTTAGCTCGTTCAATTATCGCAGCCTAAATTAAATCTGTACAGCACATTCGACACGCGTTGAATTTATCATTATTAATTCGGCTATCGGAATATTTATGTCGAAACGAACCTTTGCACTCGTTGGCGTCCCTGGCGGTGGCCCTGGCCCACGGCCGGTCGAAGTGGAAGGGCCGGCATCGCTCACAGTCCCTGCCGGCGGTGTTGTGCCTGCACTCGCAGACGACCTCGCCGTCCTTGCTGGGGATGCAGCGCGCCGCGTGTCCGTTGCACTTGCACCTGCCGCCCACGGCGAAGTCCGACACCGCGTAGTGATGGGCCATGGTGGCGGTGGCCGGGCCCAGGCCGTTCATCGCCACACTGGCGAGCGTGGTCGTGGTCGAGGAGATGGTGACCGGCACGAAGCTCATGTCGCGGACCGCGGCGTCGATCGCGTCGTTCGACTGCATCTCCTGGGGCGCGATCACCTGATGGACCGACGGCAGTGCCGTCACCAGCGGGTCCTGCACGTGCAGAATCGCGTTCTTCTGATTCTTCAGGCGCTCCTCGCGCTCCCGTTCCCGCTTCGTCAGCTCCTCCAGCCCGATCGCCGCCACGTGATGCTCCTCGCCGTTGAGCGAGTCCGGGCTCGACGGCTGGTGCGGCATGTGCAGCCGGTTGAACACCACCCGGATATCGGTGGCGGTCACCCAGTCCTGCAGCACCGGCGAATTGTCGAAGTCGGCGGCGGACGGCCGACCCTCTAGAGTGCTGAAGGCGATCCTGCTGACCGGGTTCATACCGTCACCGCCGGTGTAACGATGGCTGTCGGTGCACCGGGCCTCCTGCTCGTTCGCCTTGGTGATGGTCGCGCGATTGGGCCTGCCGTAGACCCGACGGCACTGCGACGAGTAGAACTGAAACGGTTGCCAGGTCTTGCCGTAATCCATGGACTTGTAGATCGCGATCGAGTCCGGCTTGGCGGCGCGCGGACAGAACTGCAGGCTGACGTACGTCAGCTCGTACTTCTTGCCGAGCGAGAGGGTCAGGGTGACGTTGTCGGGCGGCGCCGAGAAGCTCTGCGAGCTGACGAGCGGCTCGCTGCGCCAGCAGGTGACGTTGTTCGGGTTGTTGAGGTCGGTCAGATAGCTGGCGGGGAAGCGTCGCCGGGGCGTGCTGTCGTCGCACACGTGACAGTGGCCGATGCCGGTGGTGCCGCCGGGCTCGTCGGTGACGTCGCAGTAGCGGGTGGGCCCGCCGGTGCCGCACGTGGACGACGCCTCGACGGTCGCGCCGAAGGCCGCGTTCACGAAGTCGGGTATGCACCGGCGCGGCCGGTCCTCGTCGTAGCACGGATCGCTGGGATTCTGCTGGCTGGAGAACATCTTGGTGTAGATCTCGCCGCGGGCCTGCTGCAGCTGGCCGAGCAGGCCGATCGTCGCGAGGACGATCCACGGCCGGAAGGATCGGCGCGAGCTCCGTTTCTCCGTCATGCTGCACCGCTGCCAAACGCCGCTCCGTTCTTCGCGTTCTGTCGCGTTTTCTCTGCGGACGATGCGCTACGGATGCGTCGCTGGCGATTTAACGTGCCGACGTTGACGATCACGAGAAGATTTTCGCCTCTCCTCGTCCTCCCTCCTGCCTTTACTCTCTCCCCTCTGCGGAAAAGGGGGATCCTGAGATGCGATCGTTTCTAGATCCCGCTCCGCGTCATGTTGAAATCGGAGCACGTTTATAATAATTCCTCGTCGTCCGTCTCTCTCTCTCTCTGAATCCGTCTCTGTCACTCACCACAACTCACATTATATTGGCACTGGCCAAGGACTTGGAACGCGACACGATGATGAATTTAATCATACGTTTAATCTCGCGAAAAAAAAGACAAACGCACTGTTCACACTGAAACTAGAGCTCCTGCTGTCCGAGGAGCCGCCTGACTCCACCACTCCGAAAGTTTTTTTTTTTTTCCACTCAGACCCACGAATTTCACTCTCGCTACGATCCCCGCGAGAACGCGTCTCGTCCCGCACGGCGCGAAACGAATCGACGTTCCGTAGCGCGCGAATAGCAAAGGAGAGAATCGGTTGCAATCGGAAACACCGCCGAAACACCGGCGATAAAACAACCCTACCTCAACAGCGGCTCGCCGCTAACTGAAACGCCGTCCTCGCACGATGCGCATCCGAACTGCCGCGAGTCCCTCTCCGGTCGCGAGGAGAGACCCCCCGCACCCCGCAGCCCCCGAATGCGTGCTACCTCTCTCCCCCCCTCCCCCTTGACCCCCTCCTTCCGTCTCGGTTCGACCAACGACGCGTCACTCTCGCTCGCACGCTTGCGAGAGATCGTGCGGGCCAATCGGACGAGACATTGGCCTCCCCCTCCTCCACTGCGAGACTGGTCCATCGCATGGATCGTGGATCCAGCGCGAAGGGATGTTGCGCGCGTGCTACGATGGACCAGAAACGGTGGACTGGCCTCGAGGGTGCCTCTCCCTCGAAGGATAGGACGGGACAGGCGCGTGATTTTTCTTGTTTCCTTTACTTCGCCCGCGTTTCGGCGGCTTCAAACGTTAACCTGTTGGCTCGTTTGGGTTTGGGATTTTCGTTGCTTTCGGATTGCACGAGGTTCTAATTGAGAACGGAGACGGCTGTGAGGTGGCTAATGAATATTTCTTTTTCGAAAAGGACAATTTTTGAACATGCTAATAGCGGGAAAAGATTCTTTCTCACGTTTTGACTTAAAAAAAAAAAAGACTTATTTATCTAGTGCACATTTTATATAATTTATCCTTTATGTTTGCGCACAAAGACTTTAAGTGTTTGTCCACGATTAGGATTAATATATGTATGTAAATGACGCATAATGTTATATAACATTAATCTTCTACACCGTCTTTGTTAGCGCAGCACGTTCACATTAGTTTGTCTACTTGCTGCTGCATGTTACATTAGTTTGTCTTTGCCCGTTCTCTGCCACCGTCGTCTCTGTATACTCGGGCATAATATTGCACGATGTAATCCATTTCTATTTACACTGCAACCTACCGTTGAATATCGTCTTCATTGATTAATTTGGATAATGCCTATTGATTAACCGAATCTAGTTAACGAGATTCGGCTTGTATTTCTGAATTATGTTTCAAATAGTAAAACACAATTAAGATACCGTAAAGTACAGAGCTTCGTCAGCGCGATAAAAATATATCGCGTTAACACTATAATGTATAGTATAAAGATGCAAATAGGTTACAAAACAACTACTGAATAATTAATGTAAATGACCGATGGAATTAATTATAATAGTAAGTAGACACATATTCAATTGGAAATATATGTATATTCCGAATGTCAAAATACATTCGGTAAGCAGAAATAATTTCTCCTAAAGAAACACTCCTTGAGCACTGTTTTTTTTCTCTCGTGATTCTTAAGATTCCAATATATAAAATATTTTAAGATCTAGATCTCAATTTACGCTTCTTTTAAAGTCCATTTAAAACTTATCAAAGACTGAGATTTATTCCCTGAAGCTCTAAAACCGTCAAAACTCTTCCTTTGCAATCGCTCATAAAGTCAAATTATTCACGTCTTAACACGTCCTGGATGAGAAAGTATTATCTCAATTCTCGATTATACGATCGTCGCCCGGTTCGAGGAATACGTTATGGGACATCTCGTATGAATGCTGCTAATCAAGGTAGACGCGAGCGAAGTATCGATGAAGCAATCGAACGTTGTTCGTCAATGGGACATGTTCATTCAAGGAATCGACCGCCGCGAGCGGGTCGTAAAGTACCGCTCGCCTCTCTGCGCCTTTCTGGTTGCGAGAGGAAGATCTTCGAGGAATTTATCAGCGGATTATTTCACGACGGAGGATCCCCGCGGGCGCGAGGGGATACCTCTTCCGTCGATTTCGTCGAGAGAGGACCCGGTCCGCCTGCGTGCAAGGCTTATAGAGCGAGTTTTCTGCCGCTCGATTGGTCGGCGCCGTCGAATTGGCGGTCGAGGAGGAAAAAAAGAGGCAGAAGAAAAAAAAACAGCAGACGAGGATCAGCGGGAGAGAAAAAGGGTGGCCGACGGGAGGACGGACGGAGTGAATGGAGAGAGGAGAGCAACGTCTGTGTTGCCGTCACGCGAACTCCTGTTGGACCGCGACGTGGAAAGGCCTCGTTGGCTCGTCCGACTTGACAGCTCGAAATCTGGTATCGGATACGATAAATATAGGTCCTGGGGAATTAAGTCAGAGCCGCGGATCTCCCTCCGCGGCGGCGAGCGTGAATCCGGTTGATCCAAAGTATCCGTTGTGTGGTTTTTTCTCCCTGTAAATCACGCAGTTTCGGCCTTTTTATTAACGATGATTCCGGCGTCGGTGGAGTGCCGTGCCTTCAGCACCTTCGCGACTGCTCGTATATTTTTAGAAGTAGTATTTCTCGCCTTAACTAGAAGGTTGCTTGCAGCGTCAGGCGACGCTAATTGTTATGTATCTGCTTGTCACTTATGCTGCATCTTTGTAATGCGGCAATTATATGTGTACAAGTATTATTTTAAATTCTTAACAAATTTCTTCCGTGATTGCCAGTCGTTATACGGAAAGATGTTTATGATGAAAAATATAGTATAGTAAACTTAGATTTCTAGTTCAATTATTAAATTTTACTTTAACGAATTCTTTATTTGCCGAAGACTCTATAACGTTATGGGACATCTCGTATGAATGTTGCTACACGGAAAGAACAATTTTGCTGGATCCAGATCAGAAAATAATTTTTGTTTAGTAATCAAAATAATTTGGTTGGAAAGTTAAAATGATTGCTAGAATATCAAAACGTTTTATAGCAATGCCTATTATTTTTACCTTT